ACAGGAGTTGTTCCAAAGAATCTTTGTGGAATAAAGGAGTAAATATACTATCTGATTCAGCCACACCATCACACTCTGAGATAAGGAGAGTAAGTGTTTTTTGTCCCCAGATACAGATGAGCAAGCTGGGACTGAGAGAAGTTCTAGGATTTCCACAAGGACCAAGGTTTTAAATCTAACCTGGCACCACAATCCTTGCATGGGAAAGAAAGGGACGATAACCACCTACTTTTGTTTTTTTTTTTGAGACAGAGTCACACTATGTCGCCCTTGGTAGAGTGTTGTGGCATCACAGCTCACAGCAACCTCCAACTCTTAAGTTTAAGTGATTCTCTTGCCTCAAAACTCCCAAGTAGCTGGGACTACAGGTGCCTGCCACAATGCCCAGCTATTTTTTGTTGTTGCAGTTGTCATTGTTGTTTAGCTGGCCCGGGTCAGGTTCGAACCCACCACCCTCAGTGTATGTGGTCAGCGCCCTACTCACTGAGCTACGGGCACCACCCAACTGCCTAGTTTTTAATACCATATGATTATTTTCTTCATTAGTTGAGCTCCACTAGTCTAACAAGACCTGAGGATGTTATTCATCAAAGGCAGAAAGATATCAGGGCAATTCAAAACACAGTGTAACTTCCCATGTATCTGAAATGATGTTTCCTTACAATTTAGTCCTTAAATTTTAATGTTTGAATTACTACATAAATGGCTCATAATAAATGACCCTAGAAGGTAGCAGTATCAAATAACCACTTATGCTCATAGATTCCAGGGATCAGGAATTCAGGCAAGGCCCAGTAGAGATGGGTGGCCTCTGCTCCCTCTGCTGAGGCCCAGATGATTCAAGTCTTGCAGACTGTGGGCTGGAGGCATCTGCATCTGAAGGCTAGCTCACTCACAAGTCTGGAAGCTGAGGCTGGCAGTTGGCTGGAGGCCTCAGTTCCTCTCTGTGTAATCCTTTCCACAATCCTCTCCTTACAGGCTAGTCTAGGCTTCCTCAAACATGGTGGCCAGGCCTCCCAACAAAGAGCCAAGGAGAAACTGAATCCTTTTTATGATCTAGCCTCAGATGCCACACAGCATTACCTGGCATACTCTATTTTATTTTACTTTATTTATTTATTTTTTATTATTATTATTTGTTTTTGAGATAGAGTCTTACTTTCTTGCCCCTGGTAGAGTGCTGTGGCATCATAGCTCACAGCAACCTCAAACTCTTGGGTACAAGGATTCCTCTTGCCTCACCTTCCCCAGTAGCTGG